CAAGGAAGGAAATGTGCTGGTTGTTTCTCTTTACTAGAAATACAAACCAGTAACTTTTGATGCATATTCTTAAGGACCAAACTAAACAGGATATGGCAGTCCCATGATCTGGTCTCTGGATGGTGTTTTATTTTCAAATTTTACACATTTGGTATGTTTTACCCTGTAATGGCTGCAGCTAAAAGCTGGGGTTGAGGCAGGAGGGGAGAGATCTGCAAAAGAGACATAGGTTGAAATTTCCCTCCCCCATCAATGCATCCCTGATCCGAATTGCACTCCTCTCTGAAGCTACTGTTAGCTGAAGAGATAGCAAACAGGTGCTTGTATTGCAAGACATTGCTACTGTTTTGTATTGCAAAAATGGTAGTGCTGCTCTCAGCCATGTATAAACAATCTGCAGCCAATATATGCATGTGCTGACCCAAATTACTTCCATGCCGTTAGAGCTTCTATACTGTGAAAGAATGTGAATCAGCTCCCCTGTACTTTGTCTAGAAGCATCCAGTGCAATGCAGCATTAGCATCATTTTGATTTCCAGTGTCCAAGGCATAATGTTGCGGCAGTTTTTCCTGTGCTGCTTATTAAGTTTAGGACCACAAATACCAGTACAGACAGGTGATCCAAGGTGTGAGCAATTTTAAAGCCTGATTCCCAAATTAAACTAAACTCAGGAGTTTTCTCACAAGCAGCCTGGGGAAGGCAGGGATATTAAAAAGTATAATAGACATTTTCCATCTCTTTGCTTGCTTATCCCGGTTCTTCCGTAATGAACACAGGTGGTCACTGTTTCAGAGCTGGTTTTCTGCAGCCCACAGAATCTTCCTTCCAAACCAAGCTAAGTTTTAATTAAACAAAGCCTTTTCATGGAGCTCTGTCAGGCTGTAGCCTATTTCTTCTCAACCAGAAACAGCATTTCCTAGTTCTGTCCAAGGGGCACCAATGGGCTGAGGCTGAATCCAGAAATTCTTTCATGTTGTTACTGGCTCAAATTTTGTGTTAGTTAAACAGATATGCTAAATGCAATTATGAGAAATAATGTTTTCCTCATACTGTGAATTAGTATGTCAGCATATTTTAACATAGCTAAACTAGATTTTGCATCATATTCTTAAACAACATGACATTTATATATAGTTTTCTATTTTTTCATGTAAATGGAAAGCATTTAATGGCCTTGAACTACCACTCAAAACATGGGACTTTTTGGGGTTTTTTGTCTTAGAAAATGATATTTTGAAAGGGTTGCTTTCTAAATCTTGTTTAAAAGTAGAATAAAATGACTACTTTTAACTGCATGTGTTTTAGAACTATCTTCAGAACAAAATTAAATATGCAGGCTCTGAAATGAAAAATGCAAAATATGGAAATATGACTAATTCTAATTCTTTTTTCAAGCACTATGGATGTTGTGGATTTGTATTCGGACTGGATTCATTTACTCCTCTTTGAATCTTAGCAGCTCAAGAAATCTGTTGCTGCAACCTATTTTAACATTTACATGTGAATATCAAAGTCTAGCTAGACAATCTGATTCTCCAGACAATATTCTTGTGCACGTAGGATAAACCAAGCATTCTGAGAGATGGAACAGATATAGGAAATATATGCATAACTGTACACATTCATTTGCATTCTCATGTAGGTATTATTACTTTTTTCCCTTTTTGTTGTCCCAGGTTGAACAATTGCTTTATTGACTATTTATTGTACATTGTTAGCAAACCAGTTGAAGGTAGAACTAAAATTTTAAATCAGATATTATTCAGCAAGGGAGTGAGGGATGGAAGGAGGGCAGGAGTGTGGGAAAGATGAACTAAACAATTCCAAAGTAGCAACCACAGCATGGTGGTATGAGTGCCATGTAGTGTTGGGTGATCACTCTCTTCTGTGTTTGATTTGGACATGAGCTTTTTATTTTATTATTTATTTTATTAATTTATTTCCTCTAAATAGATAATTAGAAAAAAGCTTGGTTAATTCCATGCTTAGAATGAATTCTGTCATGCTCTTGATGGCTTCAGGAGTGTGAAAGAGTCTGAATGCCTTGACCTGGTCCCCTGTGATCTCCCTAAACTTTGGGAGTGATGGGCACAGGAGCAGAATGGGAGCAGGGAGTGAAAACCTCTCTCTTCATTGCTCCTTGAAATATTATTACTGTTATGGCTGTTCTTTCCCTTCTTCTAAACAGGACAAAGACTGTCTAACAGAAAACCTTTATTATGTTAAGACTGATCAGCTAGGCTGGCTTTGTAGCACAAAAGAATAATATAGCAGAACGCAGTCATAAATAAGCAAGCAAGGTCAGAACACTAGCCACCAAGAAAATGCAACTAAATGTTAAGAAGATGATTCCAAACAATACTCCTCCTCACTTCTGGACCGAAAGGAGTAAACCACACCTTCAAGGTTGGTCCTCCTGTTGGAGTATACAATTCTTTCCAGCTCTTCTGCTCTCTTAATCTGATGGCATACCCTTTCATTGATGATTTTCTGGTTAGTCTGCTCACTAAACTCTCCTAAAGAATTTGAAACTTTCAGATTCCCAACAACTGCCTGGCTTATTCTGTGCCAATGCCTCAACATTTTGGGTGCAGATTCTGGCTCCACCTCTTTGTCTGACTCAGAATCGACTCTACTACCTTTGAAGACTCTTCTTTAGAAAAAGTGGAACCCATCACTATAGACACAGAAGTTTCCAGGCACCAGAATTGCTGGGAAATAAAACTTTTCTTAGATGCCATAGGAAAGTTCGGTTGGATCCTAAGATCCTTAGTTGTTCTTAGTTGTCACTGCAAACAGTTGGACTTAAGGCATGTCTAAATTTATCCTATTGATTTTAATCAGACCTAATTTAAGTGCAGTTCTAATCAGGTATCTTTCCCAGCATCCCTGACCCTGGGAGGCTGTAGTAGAAGCATATCCAAATACCAGGCAGGGAGTCCATCACAGCCACTGCCCTGGTGGCGGAAGAAAGAAGAAGCCCTTTTCTGGTTTGGATTACAGTTTAAGCCAGAGAAGAACTACTGTGGTGACAGCTGGGTTCAGGATACCAGGGGCCTTTTAGAAGGGCATGACTTTTTATGCGTAGCTATTGCACAGTTCAGTGATACCCCTAGCATCATGAGCATTCCTTGACTACTAGAGCATGTGATAGCTCTGGAGGCAAAGAAGAAGCCGGTAGTCCTTATGTCCATGTAATTTAATCCCCCTCACCACTTTTCTTCCTTTTAAAAAACATCCTTATATCTATAGTAGTATGTGCTTCCCATTTAGGGACTTTTGCATTCAGTTTGTTTGTTCAATACTTCCATTTCTATGCCACCTATTACCAAAGTCTCAAGATGGCTTACAATAAAAGATAAAAATACATATAACAATAAATAAAGAATAAAACTTCATTATCAAAATTTAAAACCTAACTAAATCACAACAAAGCAAGCACTGAGAATGGACAGGATCAATTACTAAAAAAAGATATTAAAAAGAAATGTTTTTGCCTGGTGCCAAAACACTAATAGAGATGGTGGTAGGTGGATGTCCTGGGGGAGACTATTCCAGAGGTAGGGAGCATATCTGGCATAGTTGTAAGAAGGCACCCCTGGACAACAAGTCCACTTGTGCTTCCAAGGACAGACCTGGGTCCAGGAGCACCCCCAAACCACAAACAAGTTTCAAAAGTTTGTTCTTTTAAAAGTCATGTACTTTGCATGTAGAAGATCACAGGTTCAATCCCTGACATTGCTGCCTAGCAGGGGACTAGCATCACCACATACCTGGAGATGTCAGACAGTACCAGATTCCTCTTTAAAACTCTGAAGACTATCATGTAATGTAGGCAGCACTAAGCTGCATAGGCCAGCTACTTCTAGTTCACACAAATCACTAAGGTTACCCAAGCTGTGTTTAATCCTCCGCACATGTGAAGCATTTTTACTCTGACTACCTGTCTAGGCACAACTTGCTGTATCATCTGAACCCAGACTACATGGATTAATGGAGGGTGAAACAATGCCCACATATAGGCAGGGTGTTATCTGAGGGTTGTTTCATCTCCAACAAGATACGCTGCTTGGCTTTGCATGACACAACAAGCTGCATGCAGGCAGATATTAATAATTAGAGAAACTGTGCCCTGTATGCATTGTCATCAGTAATTAAGAAGCCATAGTGGCTTGGTTAACCCTTAGTGATTGCCCATACTGTCTCCATGTACAACTAATAATTGGATGTTGTTTTTTTCTTCTCTACATAGGCTTTGTTCTAAAGCAAGAAAAAATGTTCTGTGTTTATTGTAGCATGATTTACTCCTGCTGATTCTTATGCCCCTTAGGAGCTTCTTGGGCATCAGACATAATGCTTCTGGCTTCCTACTAGAGGATAATACACTTTGTGCAATGTTGCACACTGACCACAGTCCAAGATGTGTTTTCTAGTCGTTTTGTCCTTTTGATTTTAATCAAGAGGCTTTCTTCATGTATATTAGGTTTAAAATGCAAGGTCAAATACTCTGCACCTTTTATCTTTAGTGACATATTCTCCTGTTCTCCTGTTGTAGGTGGCAGGAGACAACTGCCATAACCAAGACTGTTTTGGAAAATGTAGCACAATATTATTCCCACTGTGTTTCATCTGTCTAAATTGTTGAGTGATGCTAACCCCATGAGTAATGCTAGTGCTAAAACATCAGATAGTTGGTTTGAACATTTCAATTAATTTACAATTATTGCAAAATTAATATTGTACATTACTAAATATGCCAAAATGAAAATATGCTTTATTTGAAGTTATTGCATTTTACCCTATAAATGTATAGTTTGCATTTATTTATGAAACCCTATATTTAAGTCAATGAAATAATTCATTTAAAATAATAACAATAATGGAGAATTTCCTTGGGGAAACTCTGAGGTTAGCATGTTTGCATGGATGGGTGTAAATGTTTTGAGTTAAAAAACCCAAAAGAAGCAATCCGGATTGCAAATGTTGTATTCCTTCTCAGTTCCAGGGTTCGCCAAAACCAATTGCCATTGAACCTTGCTCAGGAAACAAAGCAGCGGTACTTACTGTATTTTTATGCCTACCAAGAGGATCATCAGGCGTCCCACCACCTGGTCAGTCAGGTAAGAATGCCACTAAAAACTATCTGTAGTCCCAATGCAGTGGCACCCTTCTAGTTGTACATGTATACAGTATTATTAACAATGTTGCCAATTGTCCAACAGTACAAACTGTTTACAGAATCAGGGTCAACAGAAATTTGGTAATGTTATATTTTTAAGTCATTTTTTTCTCCGCATCTGAAGTTCTTTCCTAATTTTAATGCCTTGTTCACTGAACCAGTGGCACTGATAATCATTCTTTGCTCAGCCACTGAAAATGCCGGCTTCCTTTGAGCGGTTGATTGTACCAAAGAAAATAAACCAAGGCTGACAAGACATGGCTTGTTGATTTCCTGTATGTTTTCAGTTCAAAATGTTAACTACCTTTCAAGTAAGCATTTCAAGCAGGGCAGAACAAATAGATATTAGTGGCAGACCAGCATATATTGCATGTGCATTACATTATATGGAATGATACATTTTAAACCCCCCACACTTTAAACTGTTTTCCCAGTTGCAGAGAGTAATGCTTAGATTAGCCCCTCTAGTTTATTGATCTAAGCCTACCTTTCTACTTCAGAAAGGAATTCAAGGCATCATGCACTAAAATGTGATTTAGCTTGTCTGCTTCAACTTGGAAAAACAGCCTGGCATACATGTAATTGCATCTAGCTGGATGGCATGCAGGGCTGACATCAAAGGTAAACATGGATAGACACCTGCCAAGGGCCCACATCACAAGCAAGCTCCCCTGTCCAGAGTTCCTCCTCCTCTTCACCATTAGAACCTGCTTGTTAATTTGTCCTTCTGGCCTAGACAATTGGGGCAGTGAGACAGAGAAGCAGTAGATGCTGTTACCTACTCAGTGGCTCTCTGCCTATCAAGTGAGCCAGCAAGTGGCAGGAATAAAAGCAGAAGGATGAACAACAGGAACTGGTTACAATGGTAGTGAGAGCATAAACTCATCGGAGGAGTGGCCCACTGAAGGTGATGGTTCAAGTGCCCTAAAAAGTATGAACTTTGGCACTGAAGATATGCCAAGTGTAGATAATCTGGTGTCCTCCCAAATATTTTAAATTACCCTAACCCTGACCATAGATATACTAGATGGAGTTTATGAGAGAATAGTCCAAAATATCTGTAGGATACCAGGTTGCTGAGCGGATGTTTTGGACTATATCTTCCTTAGAAAGTAGCAAGCCAACCATGTCATTAAACATGTGAACTAATGAAGGTGGAACAAACTGGAGCAAACTTTCAAGTCAAAATTAAGTGTGTGGTGGAAAGGGAAGTAGAATGTGAAACATGACGCCTTACTGGCACTCTTCTCACTTTTTTCCCCAGTAGAACAAATGGTCCTCGCCATACCCTTGCTTTCATTTCAGAACCCTTCTCAAAATGACACTCCATCCTTACATAGTATGTTTTGAGGGAAACCCTGGTTAAACAAATATGGGCAGCTGCTAAGTCATGAAGAGTAGTGCTACTACTAGTACGTTCCGGCAGGTTGGACTCAAAGGAATGAGAATCCAGTGCTAGTTGGTGCCTCTGGAAGTGGTGGTGTCCAATACTTCATCCACAGTCCCTTTCCCAAACTACTCCCACCTCCTCTAAGCATATACCAATTTCAAGAACAGAAGCATTCCATGCATATGTATCTGAAATCTGCATTGCATTACAGAAAAGAAACAAGGTTCAAGTTTAATCTATGTGTTATATTTAGTGTGAGTTAGCTTCTTTAAAATCCATATCTAGTCCCTGCTTATTTCAATTAATTGCAGTATAATAGGGATGTCAAGGGCAATGATATTTCAGAAATATGCAGGCTTGGGAGAGTCTGTGCTTGAGGCAAGGAAACATGTAGAGATCGACTTTAATAAACTGGATTTATGAAGGGCAGAGAATGACTGTGGCCTAAATCCAGCATGCCTTCAGCGTGAGAAATGGGCCTTTTTAGCACAGCTCTGCTGTCTTGTCTCATCGTGCAAGCACTAGTGGACCACTTTGTCAACCCAAGATCTGCAAACAGCCATTCAAATCTGTAACTGTATATATATTTTTAAATTACAGCAATTGATCTGTTCCTTAGTTTTACCAGCCAATGCATAATTGCAAAGGGCAGGAAAAGTCCATAGATTCCAGGTATGCAAATTGAAAATATGGGTTAAACTTCAGTACTTTAGAGCAAAGTAAATGGCAGACAATCTTGGGCCTGTCTTAAAATTGCATGAGTACAGCCATGCAATGTGCTTTTTCTATTACTTGCGCCAGTGCCAGAAATGAAGTTGCTAGGACAAGGAGACAGGAAAGAGAAGGAGCAAAGGACAATACTCACCAAATTAAATTGTAGACTTGGCACAGATCAGCACAAGAAACATTGGCAAGATTCGTGTACTGATCATTATGAAACCAGTCAAGAACCCTGCAGTCTCTCTTGCGCACAGGACTGGCACAAGCCTAGAGGACTGGTTTGGCAAAAGTAGCTTTCAGAGTTTCATTAAGGTCTGTTGCCATAATGCATGAAATTCCATAAAATATCTTCCTCCTCTCTTCTTTTAAACACCTCCTCAAAATGTGTTTTCTGCCACTCCCACTATTTTGATGATGGTTGTGTGATTCTACTGCATCAAAGGAAAGCTTGCAACAGAGAGGTAGGTCTGTACCTGCGGTTATTTGTTTTGTCATGAACCACACAACATAACAAATTGTGTGCTATGACAGTTCCTGAGTTGTATAATTTCTTACCACAGGCATGGACTAGCAGGATGACTACAAATGGCATATAGACATATAGCTGAAAACTCCCTGAACAATGACAACAACAATGATCCTATTACGCACAAAAACATAATAAAAGCTAGAGAGCAGGTTTTCCAACCCATTCTTATCCCTGACCTGCTAGCTTTCTCTGTGTAGGGATTTTTTTGGTATATATGGTGGGACCTTGCAATCCCAACCATACCTGTTGGGAGTGAGAAAGAAGGCTGCTTTGGGTGCTCATTCTCAAGGACCACTGGCTGGGTTGCAAACGAATCAGAATGAGAAGTAGAACTGGTGGTTTGGGAGTGTGGGCCATGCTGAGATACTGACAGGTGAGAAGCAGAGGTGCTTATCTCAAGGCTAGACTCCCCAGGTGGACTGGCAGTCTCTGGGAATAACCAAGAAGTAGAGCTGGCAGGAGCAGACCCTGTGCAGGGAGTTTCTGAGACACAGACCAGGCAGCCCCAGCTCTTGACCCCATGAATTGGCATCAGGGCAGCTAAATTAGAGGACTGGCACATGGAGAGGAGGTGTGCAACCTGTGACTCCTGACCCTGACAAAGAAAATTCTTTGCTCAGCTTCTGTTGAACTAAGTAACATTTTCCATATCTGAACACTATAAACTGTAAAAAGTATACGTTCAGAGCTGAACAGTTTTGCACCCATAACCATGTAATAAAAAAAACCAGAACAAGAAAATCAAGCTATACATTCCAGTAATCATGTAAGCGTAGCTGATGCAGATTTATTACTTTCAAGTATGTTCATGGAATCTCACATCACCATCCCACAGACTTCAATATGATATTATGTCCAGTCTAGCCAAGAGAAGGGCATATATGAAGAAGCATCTCTTTGCTTGAGCAAATACTTCTGATGCTCAGGTTTCATCCCTGAACTTGCACTGCACTTGACACAAGAAGCAGCTAGTCTCTGATTAGCTCCCTGGTACTCATCAAAAAGGGATGCTCTCCTTTAATCCCTATTGCAGTTCCCCTAGGAAAATCTTTTGCCCATCCTCTGAAAGTTGCTCTTCATCATTCCAGAATAAGCAAGACAATGAATGATTCCAGGTCATGCAATAAGCCACTTGGCTTCTGGAACTTTCTCCTGGTTCCATCCATTTATTTCAGATTACAAAAATGTGAAACCCTGCATTGCAAATGAGATGCACTTGAATTTGTACCAAACATACCTCAGCCTGTACACAAATACATTTTCCTGAGAACTGAACTACACATTACTTTCAATTCATAGTGTTCTTGTTCAAATGAAATGTGAAGGGACTGAAAAGGACCCTAGCTTGTGGGGGTAGAAAACATAACACTTTGCCCCTTCTTTCCTAATGTATTTTTTACCATATTGCACTCCCCTTCCCCCATCACATGCACCTGCAATTTGAATAAGGAAAGAAAAGGCCTTTTCCCCCATCCTATGTATATAGCAGGCATGAGGGCCCTGATCCACACTGGGGCTTCAGTGAGGAGCAATTGGATTACTTTTGGGTAAGGGAAAAAAGACATAATCACATGCAAAATATTAAAAATGCATTTTCTGTACATGATGTAGTGCTGTTGTTGAGCATTCTGATCACTATTTGCATTATTTGGCACCTCTTGATGAATTTCTTGGTCACATTTGCCCCAGAGAACAGCAGCAGCAACAAAATCTTCAAAAGTACTTATTGATCAACAGATTTGCTGACACATTTTCTCCTGCCCTCTAGAATGTTCCCTGGTGCATTTGCATAGCTCATAAAACCATTTGGCTTTGCTATAGGCTATTTTATGACTTACTGAACACTTCTACACTTTACTTGTGCACAACTCTGCTAACGCATACGTTTGATTATATGGTATAATGCTTGGGTATGTAGGCTCTCGTAGCAAGCTGGACTAAATGATCTCTAAGGCCCTTCCAGTCTTACAGCTCTGATCTGCAAATGTTTCTAAAGCACATTTTCTCAAGTTAAGTACCACTGATAACAGTGTGAGTTATGTCTACGTAAGAGTAAATTTAGTTACAGCTCACTCGGTTGTAGCCAGGATAAATGTGTCCACTCTACTGTTGGTTTCACATACATTAAATTATGGCTTGTTTGAAATATTTGGTAAGATTCTTATTTGCCTTCTCATTCCCCCCTTGCTCTGAACTAGCCTAGAAGGAGTTGGTATCAAGATTTATGAACTTTGCAGCTAACCCTATCCCTAAAGTTTGGTTAGCAGGTATATTTTTATTGTCTGCAGCGACATGTTCTCAG